CGGGTATGTAAATATACCTACAAATAATTAAAAACTAGTTGCTCCTTGCTTACCTTCGCCATGGTGGGAGTATTTCCGTTATATTTCGAGTAGAAAGAAATTTTGGCGGAGTCTATAGACTACGGCGTATTAAATTATTAGACTTTCAAAAGTCTAGACAGTACTCTGCGGTATTATAAAACCAATATATAATTAAAGCTAATTATTAATATGTATTCCTATAGGTAATAATGCACAAAAAACTATTACTCCTATATGATAGTGGTTTAATGACGCTTGTTTAATTTAATATTTATTGTGTACGGAAGACAAATACTAAGGATATAAACTATTTTCTAACGAGAGACAAACACATTTATATATCCAAAATTCATAATAAGTTTCACTTCTTTCGATATTTTAATCTTGATTTCTGGCTGAAGGCTGAATTGTTTGAAACTAAACGGACAAAATGTAACTTCAAGAAACGTTAAATTGAAGGGGAAGACGTATCTGTAGTTTCTGAAATCTAATCTAAATCATTTCAATTTATACAAAGGTGTGATCTAAATTCTAAATTCTGATAACTGAAATTACTGAAAATCTGAAATCATAGACAAAGGATATTCCTCTGAAATTTTGAAACGGTGTCAGTGTCACCATATTAATGAATATTTTTCCCATAAATATGACTTCAAAGACCAGTGCCTCTAAAACTCCTTATAAAAATAAGATATGTAGGTTTTTTTAAATTATGAGATCTCGTTATTTAAAACGCATGTAATTTGAATAATTCAAACATTGTTTATATACAATGTATTTAAAAAATCCGATTGTAATGCCGCATCCGCACACTAGGCAAAACCGGAGGAAGAAAAGGAACAAGCCGTCACAAATTCAAACGTGTGGATAATAGTGTGTTTGGCTTTTTTTTTAATTTTAACAGAACTAGCATGGTGGCGATCACCTCTTTCTCAGGGTTTATTTTATGTATTCTTCTCTAAAATATTCTTTGATATAATTATTACTCTTTTTATACAATTGTTCTTTAATAAAACATTTATATAAACACCTTTATTCTTATCAAAGCTATTTATGTTTTACGTATATACATTACATCTTCAAAAATATATTGCGACGCCAAAATCAATTTAAGTTATAAATCGTCCGTACGGCTCTACTTTGCAAAACAAATATGGCTTCCCCAATATATAATCCTATATATAATCCAATATATAGTCCCAGGCTTCTTAGCACTGTGGGAAAACTTTAGGCTAAGATACTGATTGAAAGAGTTATGAAAGAAACTGATGAAAAAATTTGGGATTTAGAAAGGGAATGGGGTGTACAGATCAAGTCTTTTCCATGCGCATGATCGCGGAGAAGTTTTTGGCGAAAAACCAAAAAGTTTTTTGTGCGTTCATGAACTTGGAAAAGGCTTATGACAGAGTGGACAGGGATGTGCTATGGCAAACTCTGAACTCATTTAGGTTGAACGCTGGGTTGATACAGGCATTAAAGTCTCTATATAGGGACTCGAGTGCTTGTGTTAGGATCAACGGGGTCTACTCGGACTGATTTGGCATTCATAAAGGTGTCAGACAGGGCTATGTAGCTTCCCCGTGGCTGTTCAACCTATTTATGGACAGTTGTTTGGAAAATTTGAAAGTTGAAGAATGCGGGTTAAGAATGGGTGAGTTAACCATCAAATGCCTTTAGTACTACTTGCGTCGTCGGCGGCCGAGTTACATTAGGATATTGAACGACGAGTGAATGCAGGAAATAAAGTAAATGGGGCTCTACACTCTATTGTAAAAAGGCAGAATGTGTAAAAAAAGGCACGTATGGCAATTCACAATGCTGTATTAGTCCCTACTTTAACGTATGGTAGTGAAAGTTAGGTGTGGCAAAAGAAGCACGAGAGTAGAATAAATGCAGTAAAAATGCGGTCGCTAAGGAGTATATTAGGGCCGAATCTGAGTGACAGGGTGAGAAACTGTGTGATAAAAGAAGAGCGTAGTTTGCAATACGATGCGGTGACCAGGATTAAGAAAGGAATGATGTGTTTGGTCATATAGAAAGAATTAATGAGGAAAGAGTGACAAATAAAATTTATGTTGCAGAAGTGAATGGCAGAGTCGGAAAGGGACGTCCTAGGCGAAAATTTATCGACCAAATTGGCGATATATTAAAAATGGGCCAAATTAAGAGTACCCTTAAACGACGAGCATGTATGCGTAGGTATATGGATGGAAGTCTGTAGTCTCTGCCTACATAAACACTCACGCCTATCACCATCTGGGTGACAGGCATGAGTGTTTATGAGCTTTAATGTCAGTTGCATTAACCTATATCAAAATCCTATTCTATAAATTCCATATGTATTTTGTGAACGCGTAGGAAGCACTGGCGGCAAATCCATTTGATTTGTGTCAAAACTGAGACTCGATGAGATTGGTTACAAGCGCTTGCAAACCTACGCAAACCCAACCAAACACTCTATTTGTGACGGCTTGTTGAGGTTTGCCACTTGAGTAGACAAACGAAATAGAGATAAAGCTTCATGCAACCGTGCGAATCTGTTGCACTACTACAAACACGCGGGGTATGTGTACGCGTACACGGCGAGAGTGGAAAAAACCGGTTAAACTGGCGCAACGGTCAGTGCGACACACATTGTTTGTTTCGTTAGTTGCAAGTTTGAATAATTTAATATAAAAACGTGGTATTATTAATGGTTGTTTATAGTACTGTGTGTATGAATAAAGTAGTAAAGTAAAGTAAAGTTACAGCCTATATACGTCCCACTGCTGGGCACAGGCCTCCTCTCATTTTCTGAGAGGGTTTTAGGGCAAGAAATAGTCCGCCGCGCTGCCCCAATTCATGTTGGCGAACTTCACATGTCTTCGAAATATTTTTTTCTTATTTCTCAGACGTGCAGGTTTCCTCTCGATGTTTTCCTTCACCGCTGAGCACGTGGTAAATGTGTATATATAATACTTTAAAAAATAAAAATATATCGTACGTTAACTATCCGAAGAAGACAATAAGTAAGTAAATGTTACATTATTACTTTTTCAAGTAAGTACCTTTATTTTATTGTATGATCGTTTTTTAATAAAAAGAGTGTACTACACGGTGTGTTTTTACCTTTTTATCATTATTATATTACCAAACATTTTTGGGTTGGTTGGTATTTAGTGCGTATGCTTGTTAAGTTCATATATTGCAAGTAAAATTGAAATGAAAAAGAGTTGAAATTTTGTATACTTCAGTGACAATGCTATAATATGATAGATATGACCTGGTGCTGCAGCCAAGGATTGTCTCCTCATTAGGAAACTCTTCAACGGATAGTAGCAGGGTCACGAAATTTTGTATGTTAGTTTAATTTTGATAGTTTGACACGATTTTTATCACGAATTGCTGCTGCAGCCAGCATTGTCTCCTTACGAACTCTAACGGTTAATAGCATGGACTCTTAAAATTTACATTTAAATTTAATTTAGTTTGCTAAACACGCAGGAACTCCTCAACAGCTATAGTAAACTTTATGTTAGATTCAAAATTTGCCACATTATTAAAAGAAACAGATTATAAAAAAACAAAAATTTTGAAAAGAAAATTATTAGAGTAAGTAATTTGTAAAGTATTCTATCATACTGAATAATAAATACTATTTAACAAATGTTTTGTTTAATTTGTCTTCACATATTGTGACAACCAGTGATAGTTTACCGCATATTAAGATAGATGAGGTGAAGAGATGACATATGCGCACGGAAAGTTTTGTACATAAATTCACACATTTCTAAGAATTCTATTTAGTGGCGCGGAAACCGCGATTTGGATCACACGCGCTTACGTAAAAAAATATATTCGAAATGCCGAGTTGTGTGATGCGAGAATGTAAAAATTATTATTCCAAAATAAAAAGGACAAAGGGATTTCGTATCACACGTAAGTTTGTCTAAAACTATGATATATTTAAATAATTTTACATTAAATTTAATAATTATTACGTTTTCTAGAAGCAATTTTCTACTTTGTTGTAAATAAAGGACAGAGTATACAAGTTTAGCTGAGTGTAAAACGGAAATAATTAACTTGAACGTCATGAACATCATAGATTATTTCTAGGAGAAGTAAAAACTGGTATAAGAGTTCATTTTTCTTAGAATTTTTTTTTAGTTTTGTGTAATAACAATCCAATGGCACTATAATACTACTACTAATTGTTTTCGAAAATTTTATCGGGTGTCGATAAGACATTACTATGTGTATGAGACATTACTAAGTGATGTGCATTCACTAGACTAGTAAACTACACTACACGTAGTCATGACTCTATGAGCGGGGAAATCCCGACGCGAATCCGACATACATTCGCGCACACTTCATTGTTCATGGTATTCATTTCATTCTTTCATTTTTTGAAAAGTACATTAAGAAGATATACTGCTGTTTATTTACTTTATTTAACTTTACTAGCTAAGCAATTTAACCGATCCCAAGGAAATTGTGTAAATTTCAAACCGACAAAACAAATGATAGAAAATATGAAGGAAAATAATAAACATAAATTAAACAAAGACGAAGAAGAAGTTTTGGGTACGATAAGAAATTTGTATGATGACTGTGAAGAGTAATGTTTTTATGTCATGTTTAATCTTACGTGTTAATTTAAAATAAATAAAAATGTACACGGCAATTTTGTAGTTTTTATTCCAAAACACGACAATCCAGATCCTAAAACACGGTAACTTAAAATTTCGAAATGGCAACCAACGAGTACTTTTTGTATACCTGAAAATGGCAGCCCTTCTCATCGCTAATTTGATTGTTTTTGGCCTAAAGGTCTAGATACCAGGCCATAAACTCCAAAAAAAATTTATTGTTTTTGTTTGAAATATCGGTAAAAAACATAGAAAAGAATTTGCCATAACTCATACCATATAAAGGACATTTGTTATTACAAACGTTTTTGAAAAAAAAAATATATCTTATGGCTTATGGAAATTATGGATATGGAGTACAGAGAAAAGGAAATAGTTTCGGCGTTTTTTTGGGGAAATTCATTGAACATTGAAAGCAATAGAAGAGAGGACGGTTTATGTGATCAATTTTTTTCCTTTATTGATGAACTTAACAACAAGCTTGAAAAGTTTCAACTTCCTTCAGCCGTAAAATGCGTTTACAACCCAACAATATACGCAAGATATACATTCGAGTTGTATGTTCGGAAATATTGTAATTCGATGAAACCAATCATGTATTTTGGTATGAATCCAGGACCGTTTGGAATGTCGCAGACTGGAGTAAGAATAGATAAAATATATTTTATTATATACTGTATTAATACTACTACCTACAGTATACTGTATTACTAATTAATTTTACATAATATAGTAACAGTAAAAAAATATTAAGTAAACCTGTTTACTTAATATTTTTGGAGGATAACATTTATGTGCCTATACCACGTACACGCACGTTACATGAAAAATAAGAATAACTGTGGCTTAAAAATAAATCTAATTTGTTTGTTTATTGAGTAGTTTTTAACATATGTATACATATATAATTAGATTTTTTTTACACCCTATTTCAAGACTATCTCAACAATTTGTCTACTAAATATCTGATAGCTTGGTACCAAAGAAGCATAATGTTTAATGCTGATTTCTTACCTGCCTAGGATAAAATTTCACTCATTATTCATATGTATTTGTGTGGCCTATAATAATTATTTTCTAATTATCTACATAATTGTTTTTTATGGTCTTTTGGCTAGTTGGTGTGGTGTTTTATTTTAATGGATATATTATAATGATTTCTTATATTTACGCGAACATTGCATATGATTAAAACTACTTTTACGGATTTTATCGCGTTTATTTTTTACTTTTTATTTTTAATTCCCGACGTTTCGGGCGCTTTCCAGCACCCATGGTCACGGGGGGACTGAGATGACTGACGTCCCGATGTCATTGTTAAACCCGGAGTACCTTCAGCTTTTTTAATTATTGTTTATGGTCCGATCTATGCAAAATGAACTGACTATGTCCTGAGGTCTTGCAGTGGTATGCTTGGGTTTAGTTTTAATTTTATTGATTATAGGATCCCAAGCAGGTGGTAGTACCCAGCCTCCTTCTCTATTGAAATTAGGATGTTTTTTAATTTCAATAGCCTCACGTATCATCCTTGGTAGGAATCGGTGTTCTTTCGCGAGGATTTGTGGTCTATCAAATCTGATGTAATGGTTGGGGCCGTCTAGGATATGATCACAAACTGCAGACTGCAGACAGGGAATTAAAAATAAAAGGTAAAAATAAACGCGATAAAATCCGTAAAAGTAGTTTTAATCATGGATATATTATATAAAAAAATGTATATATATCTTCAGGTACCTTTTGGTGAAGTGAGTTCCGTGAGAGACTGGTTAGGCATAGAAGGACCAGTTGGTAAACCACCTAAAGAAGTAGAAACACGTCCTGTTAGAGGTTTTGAATGTCCAAGGACTGAGGTAATCATGAATTTATACTTTTGTATGTTAAATTTTTCAACTTGAAATAATAAATTTTGACACTCACTCTATTAGAATTGAAAACATAGTGGCTAAGTATTTGTGAGCAACATTGTGAGCCATAAGTTTGAATCCTGAGCAAAATAAATATTTGTATGATCTGCTTGTTACTGTTTTAGCACTGAATGTGTGTCTGCATGCAATTTGTGGATGTAAAATGCATCCACTGAGAAATTTCTAATCAAGGATAACTTTTTTTTAACCAAAAAATGTGGGGCATATGTTGTAGTCTTTTTGACACAGGGTTGATATATGTTGATGTTTTATCTTACTCTATCACCACACAATTAATTGTTATTACAGCCTGAATTAGTCAATTGACTTTTCATCATTGCAGCTCTCCACAAGTCCACTGCTGAACATAGGCCTCCCACAAGGAATGCCACAAAGCATGATCCTTAGCCACCTGCATCCCTTACCAGGTCGTCACTCCATCTTGTGGGGGGACACCGTACACTTCGCCTGAGTGACCCACCTGCATCCATCCATTTCCTGCATGTTAACCAGGTCATCAATTCGTCTAGTGGGGGACACCTTACACTTTGCCTAAGTGACCTACCTGCATCCATCCATTTCCTTCACGTCTTACCAGGTCGTCACTCCATCTAGTGGGAGGCGCCCTACACTTCGCCTGCCGGTAAGAGGCTGCCACTTGAGAACCTTTCTTCCCATCAGTTGTCAGTTCTTCACACTATTTGGCCAGCCCATTGCCACTTCAGCTTACTAATTTTTTGGGCTATGTCAGTCACTCTGGTTCTACTGTAGATATCCTCATTCTTAAATTTTTCATGCAGAGAAACCCGAGCATAGGCCTCTCCATAGCATACTGAGTGACTTTGAGCTTCATCATACGGCCAGCGGTAAAGAACCACGTCTCAGATCCATAGGTCATCACCGGCAACACTTACTGGTTGTACAATCTAGTTTTGAGGTATGCCTGGCGAGAAGGCGTGTTGTAATTTCCTGAACGCTGCCCAACTGAGTTGATTCCTTAGCGGTCAGTAGAGTCTACATCACCCGAGGATGCCTCATGTAGAGGCGAAACACGTGTCGTATTGTCGTCTATGGTGTGTCTTACCTGGAATAGTGGTGTTGGAAGTAGTGGTGTTGGGAGTAGTGGTTCTGGGACTAGTGGTGACGGAGTTAGCGCATGAAATTGAGGGAGGGCGGGAGGTACTCTTCAATTCAGGTAAGACACATCATTGTATTTAGTTAGCAGAAGGTTGCAAAGTAATACATTTTTTATTATGAGTTGAATCCGTTGATTGACCTCTCGGTTAAAGTTGGAATTACCCAGTTGGACTTTTTCATTCCAACTCTATATTCATTCTCATAGTCCAACATAAAGTCAATCTGACTGAACTGAAGGGAGATAATCATGGCGGTGAAGCACTGCCAACTTCCTGACTCAGGACTGCTACTGAGAATTTCTTGACAGAAAAACCCACTAACTGATATTGGACCAACCTGGGATTGAACCATAGACCCCATGATTAGCGGTCGCGCTTACAATTACTAGGCCAGCAAGGCCGTCAAACCAACAATTTAATAAGAATGGTGATCTTGCTGATCAATTTTGACCATGGTAAGAAAAACAAGTGCGGTGGTAGCTTAGGGGCTAAGAGCTTACTATTTTAATAGTACACAAGCAATTTAAGAGGGATAACCATTGGCGTCACAAGCTCAGCTGTTAAAGAAAACATGCTTAGCTGAAAAATAATATATTCCTAGAAAAGGTGAAGTTGTTCACCATGTACTAGAGCAGCACAGTTGGTGACCTATGTCTAGCAGTATAGGCTGTAACTTTACTACTTCAACAAAAGTTCCATCAGTATATCAAGTACAGTAGACCCCTGGTAATCTGACTAATTACAGATCCAATGATAAGATTCTATATGTTATATATTTATCTACTCTGAAGTACAAATCATACTTCATTATGTATGTCAAATTTAGTAAATTAAACCACACTATAGAGAGCTTACATTTTATTATAAAATTAACTTCATTAATGCCATTGAACTTACAAAACATGCAATAATTTTACATCACGAAATAATCGTGTACAAACAAATGTATGAAATGAATTGAATAATAAATATTTTACCATGTCGGATTACCCCCTGCCAGGTTAGACAGGGGCCGGATTACCGGGGGTTCACTATATTGGGTAACAAGAGAGCTGCAAATCAATATAAATGTGATACATTCAAAATGAGGTCTAATAATCTTACGCTCACCAGATGTCGCTAGTTACGGGGCTAAGGTGAACTTATTTGTTACCTAATTACCTATACAGATGGTCCACACAGTGTCCTCATTATTGAATAGTTGCAATTTAATTAAAAGTTCCTCAGTTTCTAGAGTAGGTATATACACAAAACAATAATTCAGTGCTATATTCTTTAATTTTGTACACATTTATAACTTTTTATAAATTCTTCAACTTTTAGGAGTATCAGTAGTTTGGTTTATTCATTTCTGAACTTATTAATAAAATAAAACCAAAATTTCAGGAAGCTTCTAGCAAATTAACTTCACCTTGCTGTGATTATCACCACCTTGATATCTAACAAATACAGTGGACCCCCGGTAATCCGACAAACATTTAACAGGGCAGTGTAGAACTATCGAATTTGTCAGATTATAGAGTACTGCCTAAGTACCTGCCCCTATAGTCCAGAATTTTTTTTTCAAAAGAGTACCTTGTATTCCGACAAATTACAGATCCAATGATAAGATTCTATATTTTATATAAATGTATTATGTACATATAACATAATGAAGTATGATTTGTACTCTGAAGTACAAATCATACTTCATTATGTATGTCAAATGTAGTAAATTAAACAACACAATAGAGAGCTTACATTTTGTTATAAAACTAACGTCATTTATGCTTAAAAAATATGCAATAACTTTACATTAGGAAATAATTGTTTACAAACAAACATACATACTAAAATAATCAAAAATTATGAATAAATCAATTTAAGAAGCAATAACGCTTTTTGAGGAAAATTATGATCTTTCTACCATTTTCAGAATCAATTTTACAATCAGAATCAAAACAATACCCTACGCGTCGAGCACAATAGTGGTGGTGCATACAAGTTAAAACTTGTTCAATCATGCATTAGTGAAGATTATCAAAAAATATTCAATAATAAATAATAGACCACGTCAGATTACAGGGGGTGCCGGATTAGACTGGGGCTGGTATACCGGGGGTCCACTGTATTTCATTCCTAGTGGCAGTATACCTCATTCATAAGTGGCACTGCTCTGGTGACAGAAAAAGTTGTGAATGGATGTTTAACGGTCTTGGTTTTACATATGCATTCATATCTGTTTTACTGATAATCAATTTATATAATTAAGTACATTGTCATATTATTTTTACATACTAGAGTGAACAGGTATATGTGTGGTTTTCAAAATATTTATAATGGAAATCTTCCTGGCAGATAAGCGGCAAAAGGTTTTGGGGCTTGCTTAAAGAGATTTGCGGTACACCAGAGAAGTTTTTCGAAACGAGTTTTGTCTACAACTATTTAAACCAGCAATGGATGAAAAGCAATGGATGCAATCTCACACCTGGCGACTTCAAAGTAATTAATATCTTTATGTTAACATTACATCGAATTGCTATTTACTAGAAAAGGTAAATAGCAATTCTATGTAATGTCCTCCCGACCGAATTTCGGTCACGGCAGCCAGTCTCAACAGGTAATGTATGTGCCAACATAGGAGCACTCTCTATTCGCTTTCTCTCATAGTTCGATAGGACCAACAGCTCTATGTGCTTTCCGTGGGTCACCGCCAACTTCCTGACTTCTGACTGCCCCAGAGAATTTCTTGCCTGAAAAACCCAATAACTGAGTTTAGCCTGACCCGGGATTCGGACCCGAACCTCATGATCACCGATCATGGTTACAATCTCTAAAACAACGAGGCATACAAATCAATTCTAATGTGCACACTAAACAGAACAGTGCATTGGGCGCAAAACTGTGTTCACACAGTTCACTGTTGCGCGAAGTCTCCCGTAATTTTAGAAAGCACTTTTAACAAAAAGCATGTGTACCTATGTTGTAGAAGTGAAACCTTTATAAAACTAAACCTTGAGAGAATGAGGACGAATATAGAGTCTATATATTATTTATTTATAGTTTATAGTAATATTGTTACAAAGTTTAATAAATGTTTTACCTGGCTTTGCACAGGTGATATCAGGATTCTACAACAGCACCACCTACCGGGTCCAATTACGTCTATAACCTTTGCGGAGGTGTAAGCAATATGTTGACAAAGTAGTTCAACCACAAGACCATAGGGTTTTTAGGGTTTGTACCTGTAGTGGCGCTGTCGTCGCACTACAAGCTAAATACACCGAAGCCTAAATGGCGCTATCAACATTCCGAATCATAAACAGTATATATAGAACTTCTCCGAACTATCACTCGGAATGTTGGCTGCTCCCTGGGCAGAAGACCTTGCCCGGCGGGAGATCTCCCCTTTTCCTTCCACACCCACAGTGGTGACCATCCGACGTGATCTAAACACGCAACCAACAACCTTCGGAAACTTCAAGATTCATCATCGTCATAGAATACCCCGTCCATTCGCTCCCGAGCAGATATCGTCTGCAGTCTTCATACCCTGCAAGCCATCTAGCTTAACAAGGTTCATCGCAGCACTGGAATAATAATGCTTCCTGTTCCTTCAAGCTACACTCTGCGCTACAGTGTTAGGCACGGCTCTGCGCCTTACTGCTCGCCTCTGCTTCACAGCACTCTCGCAGATTACTTGCCTTCTTCTCGACTCACCGCAGACTACAAGGCAATCTCCTGGCATTATTTGCACATTCGTCAGCAACAAGGCTGCACTATCGACCTCCGGTCTGAGCAGGGGGTGATGTAGCGGCGCTGTCGTTACACTACAAGCGAAACACACCGAAGCCTAAATGGCGCTATCAACATTCCGAATCATAAACAGTATATATAGAAGTTCTCCACAGTATCCACTAACTGTATTGCATGAGATATCAGGCACAGCTTATGGGAGCGGCCAGATCGTTTTAACATTGACTTTTGTCAAGACATATTAATTGAGTAATTATAATTAGAAATAAAATAGATTTTAAAAAGTTTATATAAAAGCATTTTACGTTCCCGAAATCTTGACTAAAGTTTTACCGCAATCCGATGAACGATATAGCGCATAAAATACGAACAAACATACATTTTTATATATAAGATATATTTACAAACATTATACCTATATGATATAGACTATAAGTTAAATTTTATCATCTCAAGTACTTAAATATTCTTATCAACCAGAGATTTAAATATATATATATATATATATATATATATTTTTTTTTTTATATATATATATATATATACTATAGAGTGGACATTGGGAACATTTGGATACAAAAACTGCGAGCACGCTCGTGTGTTACGCTCTCTAGCCAAACATAGCAATATTACGCTGAATATTTATTAGGAAAACATTTTAGCTCTTTCCCATTAGGTGACACTACTAAATATAAGGTAAAAATCCATTTTAGGCACGTCGTCAATCACTAACAGATTATTTGTAAATAAATAGTGGCGTTACTGGATAACAGGAAGCACTTATTACAATAATCTTTCTTTCTTCTGGAACAATCTACTAAAAATAATAAAATTTAAAGATTATTTGGTAAATATACATTTTTCTTACGATAATAAACCGAAATCACGTTAATGCACACACAACATGCACAACCGGGCAATATTTTTTAAGTTTTTTTTTTTAAATTTATGAAACGAATGCGTCTTGAACTTCCGACGATGTCACTTAGACAAAATGATAAAAATTGGAGATCAATGAATCTCCTTCATAGATACCCTGTGCATAATCTCTATACACAATAGGAAACACTGTATACTGTATTCTATCTCATTCTCTCGCAAGCTAAATGTTATAGATATCTATGTTTGTCTCTTTTTAGTGTCGCTTTTTCGTTTGAGTTTCAAATCACAATGATTCTAAAGAAGTTTTCACTTAAAAAAATATAGTGGCGGCTCTTTGACATTGATGGTCCCCAACTGATGTCCATCATGGAGTCATTGTTTTTTTTGTTTATTTAAGCGACAAACAAGTTAACTGTCTACATGATGGTAAGTGGCTACTATAGCTCGTGAACAGCTTTAGTCTACTACAAAAAAAGAAGATTATAGGAGTGTGGCCACCCCCAAAGATTAATGTTTGCCTCAAATCCTGTTCTTTTACTGGCTCCGTAACAAAAAGACAAAAAAATTGAGTGTTGGTGGTTAGCGCCATACACAAGATGGCCACCATCCACCAACTTCGACAGATTGTAGGCATAAATGCTTGTTGGTATAGGTCGCGCCACGAAAGAAGAAATTAAATCAAGCAGAAAAATGAAAATTTTATTATGGCATTTTAATATGTAAAAAGTCAAAGGTCAACATTATAACTACACATCAAGTCTCCACGAAAACTGAACGATATATTTATATATCATCGTTAGGTTTTAACTGCTTCTAAATAATATTCTGCATTTTATGTACACTTAGTTGAAAAAATAACATATTTTGTATTTGTATTTTTGTATTTGTAATTGCTGTTTAAACTATACTATGCGATAGCCTTCGATTATAAGGATATTTTACATGCAATAAGTTGCAAAAAAATCATCTTGTAGAAAATAACAAAATATTTACAACTTTATACAATACACTACGAATTACGCTATTTTAAATAGTCCCAAAATAATTTATAAAGTAATAAATATTTGCACACTATTTGAAAATATTATAGAACAATATTTTTAAAAGTACAGTAATAATCGCAAAAATTTAAAATTTTATAACAGATAGTCGCTAACACTTTCGATATCGATAGTACACAAGACGACACAAGAAGGTGCGCGGGCGACGGGACGCAGGGAGAAACTACTTGGGAGTAGCGCGTCGCTCGTTGCTATGGTTTCGCTTCCCGTATCTCACACCTCACCGTGCCGACACCTATTTTTAGCTTCTGCGCACTTCCACGTCTCGTGGCGTTGCCTATAATGAAATTTGTACTTTCGTTCTTTTTTTAAATGATGGCAAGTAAAAATCTCAAAACATCTGGAAATTAGCTGTTACTAATAGTAACAGCTAATTTCGTAAATAGTAATAAAATAAAAGTATATAATAACTTACTATATACTTTTATTTTATTACTATTTTGATGATGATCAATGAGCCGTGGTAGCTCAGGGGCTAAGCGCTCGGTGTAAATTTTGCAGTACGCGAGCAACCCTGTTTCGTCCCCGGCGACGCTAAACAAATTGTTAATTGCGATTTAAGTGCTAATTTACCACGTACTCGCTTATGAAGAAAACATCGTGACGAAATGTTTGAGAAATAAGAAAAAATAATAATACGTAGACATGTGAAGTTCGCCAACACGCATTAGGACAGCGCGGCGAACATTTTCTTGTCTTAAAACCCTCTCAGTAATGAGAGTAGATCTGTGCCCAGCTGTGGGACGTATTATAAGCTGTTACTTTAATTTTATTTCGATGAATGTAGCATAGCAAGTTTAAACATAGAAATAATTTTGTACACACACACTTATTAAAGTTATTAACAATAATTTTCATATTACTTAAGGTACTACGAAAATGAGGGGAGGGGAGGGTAGCCACTGTGCAAAACAGTAACTAGTTGTTCTCACTAGAAGGCCATAAGGTCGTCAAATATGTGTTATAGCAAAGTAACGTATCGCCAATCTGACTCCCAAATTAAGGCAAATCCTTCCCAGAAAGGGAGAGAAAATATAAAAAATATATTCCATAAACTTTAGAGTAATGATTCAAAATCAAGGTTCTCAACTATATGTAATAAAAGGTGAGATGGCATCTTAAAAGTGTGTATAGATTGTCGTTTATCAATCGTTTTCTCGATTAAGGAGACATGATGAACCATTGATGTATCCTGTGAACAATTGTAAGTCGATTAAAAGTTGACGCAATGTTAAATATTGGATGAAAATAATTATTGCTGCAACAGCCTTAGTTGTATTTTGCACTTGCATGTGTCGATACCATCCCGTAAGTGTCGTAAGAGCCGACAGAAGGATACAAATCTGGAGATGGGCAGCAGTGTCTTCGTAATAATGACTAAAAATAAAAACACTGCGGTTGCTAACCCGCTTGCAAGCATGGTAACTGTGGCAAATATGGCCCATTTTCAGCAGTGGACCTTAATATGCTGGTAACAGTATGTGTCGAACAAATAATTGGGTCACTAGTTTGAACTCTTGTTTGCCAAAACAATCTATAATCGAATGAAGTCGTCTAAAATTAATGTCGATCGAACAGTGCTTACCCTAATATTTACTTTGTTTTGTTTCGCACGTAATGATAGACAAAAATTGAGCAAATCTGTAGACACGATTATTGGTCTTTGTTATTGCAGGTGTCAGAAATGAAAGCTTTATATGAAATTTGCGATCAGACCTTCATAAGGGTTCTCGAGCTTTATAAAGTACAGACAATAGTGGCGGTGGGCAAGTTCTGTGAAACTAGAGCCCACAAGGCGATCGAGCAATATCTACCGTCAAAATCTAAAACTATAAAGGTATATTTCACTTAATTTATACTACATTAGACGACATCACTAATTTTATTTTTCAATATCAGGTTTTTTCAACTGTCTAGCGAACCCTGGGAAGAGAAAATTCTTTTTTCCATTCCTTGAGAGGCCTAGCTTACTGATTCAACTACAACTAACGGTTTTTATTATATATATATATATATATATATATATATATATATATATATATATATATATATATATATATATATATATATATATATCTTATATTTATGTGGCGGTATGACAGTCACGATTGCGCTAGACGCAGCGTACTCAGACCGGCGACAAAGAGCAGCGTTTGAAGTGCAAGGTATCTGGTACTGAAATCACCAATTTGCCTGTCAAGCGTGGCGGTGGGCTTTACTTTTAAGTTTTGTTAATTTTCTTACCATGTTACCAATACCGAAGAGCATGTGGTAACAGACCACATACAATTGCTATTATCAATATCAGTGTTACCAACAAGGATCAAACTCAAAACTTAACCTTTTAAGAGGTAGAGCCACGTCGTAGCTATATTATGGCTATAGCACGAATGGGTCGGCTCGACTGGTGAAGGATCACGGCTCTTACTGAATAGCAGCGTAAAATAGCAGCGTAAAATAGCAGCTTAATATTTCTGTGTTTCGTAGGATGAGTGTAGAAAACCGGAGACCCTTTTTACTGTAAACAAGGCATTCTATCGTAGTTTTCAGGGGTGACAAAGCATCTGCATTTTGATTCTTAATCTGAGATAATTGTAGATGTCTATGGGCCACAGCATACACTTACCAATAGGTGGACTGTGTGTATGTTTGTCACCTCCCATTCTATAAAAAATCCTTGAACTACCATACTGGCCTCATACTTATCATGCGTTATCATTCCTCTATAATCATCAACTTCATGACCACAGCCCATCAAAAGTCCATATTCTAAGTACAGCCGTGCTGCAAATATAGTTTTAGCACAATGTATCAGACCGACTGAGAAAAGACCACGCTCTTACAGAACACCGGCGTAAAGCAGCTTAATGCTACAGTGTTACTTGGTGAGTGTCTCAACTACAGATGTGCAGGCAGTTGTCAACGATTTTCGTTGTTTTCGTTTTCAACGTTTGACAACCGCTTTTGATGGCTTGAAATGGATAAAAACATTTTTTTTTGTGCAATAAGTTTTTTCTTCTTGGTAATGAATAAACCACAGAAAGCCCTACAATATATAATAGTCTATTTTTTTTTGAGATATAAGTAGGATATTTAAAAAAACCGCAAATACTACTTTGTCATTTATACAAACACTATTAAAAACGAGTAATTTCAAATTGCTGGTGATAATGATAGGATTTTTGTATGATTTGGCCACTTTTTTACAACTTTTAGGTTTATTTTTTCGTTGAAGTGGAGCTCTTTTTATTTTAGATTTATTACGTATATCTATAATAATCAACCTGAGTAGGTTAATTGTGTAAATACGATTCTTAAATTGTAAAAATAATAATTGGAGTTGATCATCTTAGGTATTTATTTAAAAATATAAATCACTCCAATAATTATTATAATAATATAATTTAATCACACAGTTAACACCCTCATTAGCAATGTAATGGTGAAAGAATTTTCAAAATCAGTCAAGTACATTACGAGTTTAGCTATAAAAACATATTCGTTGATAGTTGTGCCTTCTATAATAAAACGCATCCTACGTTTCACAGTCATAATAGCATTCTAATGGTGAAAGAATTTTTTACACGGTAAAACATAACCATCCTTTTTCGTCTGTAGTCAGATAAACAACCGGTTGACAACGGTTGCGTATCTGCTGCTTTGGATAAATATCCGTTGTCAACGGTTGCTTTACAACTATAGTCTATACTCAGTGTCTCTATTCTGTAATCAGAGGTCATATTTATTGGAATCGAGGAAACCTATCTTAATTCATATGGGTGACAATTCATCTGCATTTTGATTTTTAATTGACAATATATTGTTGCGCGCCTAAGTTAACGTCTGGTACCTGGCACTAGCGCCATCTAGTGTCGGGGAACAGAGCGAGGAGGGCTTTCTAGAAAATGCCATTCCTGAACTTTTTACCAACAGCGCCATCTAGTATCGAACAGAAGAACTAAGCTTTCTAGAAGGCCCCACACTCGAACCTTCTGCGCCTGGTCGGTCGGCGCCCGTATTTGCTGGAATATTCTGGAGTTTCGGTGCAAAAGGTGTATTTAAAGCCGCTGCAAGCCGCGATCGGGGCAGTATTGAATTTGGCGAATACAAGCGAAGCTTCGGAGCGAAATAAAGTGAACTAAAAGTCATTAGTGTGATTAATTATTAGTGTGATTTAAGTTTTAATTGGTGTTCTCTAATAAGAGTTTAAATTTTGGTAATTCAATCGGCAGTTTTTATTGTCACGAACCTTAAGCACGTAACAATATGTAATCTATCTAATATATCAGGTCGACTGAGTAATTTGTCACCCTTTTTCTAAAAAAAGTATTTTGCTGAGCATGGACTTCCTTGATAGATATTGTTTATTATCATAATAGAGGTGTGTCTGTAAGTGTCATATTTCGAAAATGCTGCTACCTATCTCCTATTTCACCTTTCCTCTGTTGCCTCTACCGACACCCACGGGATGATATGAGGTAGTGGAAGAGAATCCACTACCTCATATCACGCTGTTACTACACGGCTAATTGCTTTATAACTCATAGTATTAACTATTTAGGTATAAGGAGAGGTGACTAAATAGTGTATAACCTATTAGCAATCACTGGTCCTGTGATTCATATACACCAAGTCATTCCTGTTTTTAGTTATATTTTAAGATGTCTTGTTTAAAAAATTATGGAAAGTCAATAGTATAGCAGTAATAGTGTGGTCTTCTTCCTTGCCAGGTGCTGTACCTTCCACATCCAAGTCCTCGTACTGTCAACAACAATGATTGGGATCAAAAGGCTAAAGAATATCTAACAAAATATGACCTGTTAAAATATTATGTGGATAAAGATTAGGGAAAGAAAGGTTAACATTTTTCATCAATATGTACCTGTGATAGATTTAGATTTTTAACCAACTCCAGAAACGAAGGAGCTATCAACTCAAATGAACAGAAATCCCAAGTAGTTTTTTTGCTGATTTTAATTTTATTGAAAGGGAATATACTTTTACAATGCTCCCTTAAAATTTTCAACCAGAACTGATCATGAATGTAAGTAGGTTTATTTCTTCTTTTATATATGTTTATGGCCAAACACGGTCTCAGGCCGAACTAGTTTGTTCCAGGTCAAATCGGTTTATCCTACGCGTCAGGATATACTAATTTAGTCCAGGACAATCTAGTTTAGCCTAAATATTTTAGGCTTAACTAGCTAGGCCCAGGCAGAACTGATTGAATCATTGCATAACCTAACCTAAAAAAATAAAGCCATTAGCGGGGGTGCTCTCCCCCGTGCACAAATACGTTCGAGATCACAGATGAAGGTTGCTCTACTTCATTAAATATATAACTTACTAATTTTTTTTCCAAAAATATTCCTTTTACTTTTATCGTGGTAGTATAATTTTTTACCCTTTTATATTTCATAAATGTCGTTTTTAGTAATGTTTATACGGGGTGTAGGTTTAAAAAGGGTATATACAACCGAAGGAAAATAAAAACTGCCTCTTCATACAAATTTCGCCTCTACCTTGTACATTTTGTACTTTAGTACTACTTTTACTACTATTTTTACTGACACAAGGATATTTCTTCTTTTTTCTATCCATCTTTTTCCGTTTAATTTTTTATTTTTGGTAATAAATTGAAATTCTCGAAATATAAAAGTCCAAGTCAATTAATCTAATACTAATATAAACACCAATACACTAAAAACTAGAACTAATATGACAATTACATAAAAATAATGTATATTTAAGTAGAGTAACTTTCACGATATGCTCCGCTCAGTCCATAAGAGCTGCGCGAGGGAAAGAGATCAACCGTGCGAGCGAGAGGTAAAGTAACGTTGAGCAACACTACACGCGTCTAAACGCCGAGAAATCCCAGCGGAACTGACAGAATTTTCAGGCGTTTCTGGTTTATAAATGGAATATAGGTAAAAGGTACGAAATTATATATATTTTTAATTTTATTTATTTCTAATTCACTTGACAACAACAGTTCTACTTTATGTGGTTTTAAGTACGACTTTGCTACATTTATACTTCTACTAGAAAAAAATTGATATTTGCAGTAAAAAAATCATGAAATTACAACTTTTTAAGTCCATTATCAAATATGAAAATTAAAGCATTTATAAAAAAGTAACCAGGTCAGATTATTGTAGACAATATTATGTAAATAAATGTGATCTGAATACTTTTCTTGATATTGTTATAGTTTGTACATAGCAGAGGCTTTAATAAGACCTTTTTCGCATGTAATCTAAACATAGGCATGTTTAACGCCTAATAGAGCTATTAATTTAAACACCAAAAATAAAATTAAAAAACAGTTTCGAAAATATCAAATCCTACACTTTAAATAAATGTAAAATATGTTTCACTTTTTTTTAAATACTATAAAAAATATTTGTTTTGCTGTAAATTTTGCGAGAACACTAATTTTTACAAGACTGGGGCCTTAATAATGAGAAAGAATTGAATTGAGAATATCAATGTTTAATAAAAGTTATTATCATTTACTCAGTTCTGCCTACGACAAACTAGTTTGACTTGAAATCGGGTTTGGTCGATGTTTATTTTATTTTGGATCGAGTTTAGAAAGAGATAGTCGGCTAGCTGCGGATTTAAAGAGCTGTCGTACGAAGCGGTAACTGTTCGGTATCAATTACGAGCTGTCAAAAGAATTGCGTTTGTAATTGAATTTAAAAAATAAAAACGTACTTCTATATTTAGTATATTATTATAAAGACCATAGTAGGTATAATTTTAAATTGTGGTTTTAACCAATGGTTGAGTGACGGGCCTATTACGCGAGATGTTACTAGATGGACTGTGTACGCGGGCTTCTTATGCCTCAACAAGATGGCGGACGTGGCACGCGACAGCCTTGGACAATGCACTCGCTCTTCCAAATCTATTGCTTCGCTAAAGTCGAGATGAAGTTCTACTTGAGCCGGTAGAAGAAAAAATGGGGCGGGTCAGCTAACAAAGCAAAAGGGCTCAAGTATCATCCTATATCAATAGCATCCCGATTTAGTTATACTCATACCGCATTAAGTTTTTCTTTAGCGGTCTACCCTGCGTTAGTTGCACTCCCTCCAGTTCCATTCCTTCTCCATTCCGTTCACGCCCTTCCATGACTACTGGCAAAGAACCTCTTTCTAATGCCGCAATAACTTATCTCTCTTTTATTTAAAAAATAGTATCGGAGGGCTTTTATATCCATGACAGCATTATGAAAATTTTGGGAAAATTCAAGTTGTCCATTCACAGCAGCGTTGTCGACTACCACCAGCGATTGTTCCGGATCGATGCGACTTAGGGACCTTCAAGAAGAGAGCATCCTCTTTTTTAAAAGGCCTGCAACACAATTCCCCTGGTGTTGCAGTTGTTCCTAGGTGGCGGTAGTCACTTACCATCAGGTGAGCCGCGTGCTCGTTTGCCCCCTCTTCTATAAAAATAGCAGTATATAGCTGCTATGTTTCGTATAATGAGTGAAGCCGGTAATTACACTGGCTCGCACTCTATAACCCATCACTGGAACACAGCAGTGCACACACGGCGGCAGAAATATCAAAGAGTTTTGTACCCAGACCCAGGTTTAGACCCACACGGATTCATAGTCACAAAAAAAAGAGTCCTACCACCTTACACTTATAAGTACCATTAATGAATACTAAAATATGTTGCGTCACGTAATATATAGAATGGAGAATTTAAAAAAAATGTTAATTACGCACACACTTACCGGGGTGGGATCCTGTTGCCGCGGGCGACGCTTCTGTTGTGGTAGTGCGTTGAAAGAGCTTGCGCGACGATTGCTCTCACAACGTGAGGCGGTTACTTCTGGGGTGAAACTAGCGGTGCGAAGCAAGAAGGCGCTCGAGCCTTTATTGGGTCGGCCTTCCCACCACCTCATCTCGGTGGGGCGCGCGTTTTATTGGTTGAAAGAATCGCGTCACCGTTTAGACCCCCCTCCCCCTTCAGTGCGTACAGAAGGGATATGAGGATACAGGAAGGACAGACACTTGGCGAGCAATATACCCTCGAACAAAATTATAAAAATAAACGAATTATTTCCGCGTAACCAACCACTATGTCGTTTCGTACAAAGATCGAATGAAGGGTATGAGTGACAGCGATGAAGCTCTACAAAACTGTGGTTAGCCAATTAGCTCTTCGAAACTAGATGTAATTTACTATATAGTACTTTAGTTCTGTGTCTGGTTGTTGGGATACAAGTGTATATATGTATGTGCATAAGTTTATATAGTTTTATTTTTAGAACCGTCTACACAAGAGACATCAGCTCATAAGATAACTTTGTTAATTATTTACCTAATCTAAATGTTGCCACTATTATTTACGTTACTATGGCATGCACAAATTAAAACCCTTAAAAATAATTTGATTGTGTTAATGAATGTAAAGTTTTTAAGAAAAAGTAAAATGTATGTACAATAAAACACCATGCTTAACATATAATACTACACTAAGTAGTATTATGTTTGTATACTATTGCTAAACTGGAATAGAAGTTTGATTGAAAATTGTGGTTATAAGATTTTTGAATATTTTGTCTAAGATTATAAGAAAAAAATGTTAGTTATATAAAATGATTAAATTTTTATTATTTTACTGTGATTTAGTATTAGAATGTATAATTTATTTTTAAGCATTTATTTTCATCCAATTACATTCAGAGCTTTGGATAAGATATCTTTTTTTATTTTCATGCAGCAATAGATATTTGTTTTTTTAGTCTTTTTTTATTGGTGATGTGGATCTGGAAAATCCTTAATAGATGTTATGTAAATTCTTTTTTTTTAAGAAACGATAACAGGTACTATGTCTGGCAAAAGTTTGATCCTGTAGCATGATGTCAGGAATGTAAAGAACATCGTTATTTGCATCTTTCTGGGTAATTTTGATTAAAATTAAATTACATATAAGCTGTTGAAGATAACTTAATAAGTAGGTAAATTAAGAACATTTATTTAAAAAAGGCTGAATATATTTAGTTATAAGAATAGTCATACTAAACTATTAAATACCGGATATTGTGACGCTCTCTACTTATATTAAGAAATTGGATGTAGAATTACACAAAAGGTATCTAACCCACAAATTTTATATACCTATATCTTATTTTGAGTTATTGATAGCTCCTGATTTAGAATTGCGCATCTTGTTTGTATTTTCGTATAAAAAATTTAAACAAGTAATTCATGAAAACTTAAATAAGCAACACTTGACCGGCTTAATAAGATCGGAAATCAAGGGTCACCCATCATTCTCGCCTTAAAGTACGGCTAAGAAATATTCTTCGAATGGCGCTGTTTATCCTTTCTCGCCGCTCCCTTGACGCCCTGTTCACAACAACAAATTCAATATTGCCGCCTTTGTTTAGTTGATGGCACTTGTATTTTTATACTTGATTTTGGTAGGTACTAACGCAAATTATAAGTTTCATATTTACTAACATATATGGATTACTTGGATAACTGAAATAAAAGTTATTATTATAATTTAGACCCGTAATATTGAGATTTTAAGTTTTTAATTTATTTAATCTTACAACTTTATGATCGACTTCGAAAAGAAGGAGGTGCTCAATTCGAGATAATCTTTTTTATGTATATTATGTGATCCCACGTGGTAGCGCCATGCTGCAGCTATATATACAAAGAAAACTAATACGAATAATATTTAACATACAAAATACTGATAGCTGCAAACCATACTTCGTCAAACATAAAATACTCACCTTACCGTGCATATGTATCTTGAAAATCTGCAAATTCATTAAAAATACCTAGAATTTTATATCAAACGAGGAGAAAGTAAT